TTTTTTGAGACGGAGTCTTGCTCTGTCGCCAGGTTGGAGTGCAGTGGCGCCATCGCGGCTCATGCAACCTCCGACTCCCTGGTTCAAGCGATTCTCCTGCCTCGGCCTCCTGAGTAGCTGGGATTGCTGGCACGAACCACCATGCCCAGCTAATTTTTGTATTATTATTATTATTTTTTTCAGTAGAGACGGAGTTTCACCATGTTGGCCAGGATGGTCTCTTATCTCCTGACCTCGTGATCCGCCCTTGTGATCCGCCTGCCTCGGCCTCCCAAAGTGCTGGGGTTACAGGTGTGAGCCACCGCTCCCGGCCTTTTGAGTGTGTGTGTTGGGGGGCTGGACGGAGTTTTCCTCTTGTTGCTCGGGCTGGAGTGCAATGGCGCCATCTTGGCTCACCGCAACCTCTGCCTCCCGGGTTCAAGCGATTGTCCTGCCTCAGCCTCCTGAGTAGCTGGGATGACAGCCATGAGCCACTGCGCCCTGCCATTGCATCTTTCAAAATGAAGTTTCCTACTGAGTCTGCTGCCTTTGAGTGGCAAGTATTTTAATTCATTTAACCACTACTTGTAGATTTCTAGCTTAGGAAGATGTCTTTTGAAACTAATTACAGCAAGAATGGTTGCTTTTTTAAAAAATAAGAGGTTACACCTGGAACAAATAAGACCTTTTACATTAGTAGTTTAGTTGGAAGGGTCTTGGAACTAGGAATTACTCGATTTTTAACTGACATACAGTGGGCGCTTAAACGGTTGGGGAATGAAGGTGTGAATGAATGAATGGATTAACTGGCTGGGTCACCTCAGGTGAATTTCCTTTCCAGTGCTGTAGATTTCTCCTCTGCAAAATGGGAAAGCTCACATCTGAAAAAGTAAAAACACTGTGCAGATATAGAGAGTATTATACGAAGAACAGAAATGTCTAGCTCTTTTGTCTGGTTCATAGGTTCAAGACAAACGCATTAAATCTGCATTATGCTGCTCCATAAAACCAGTAGACAGAAGGTGACAGAATTCCTTAGGAGGCTTCCAGGGGTTTGGGCAGGAGGAAGGTGACAGGCAGGGATTTCCTGAGGAGAGCTGTGATTCTTCTAAGGCCCTCTCCCTCCTGGCATGGCTTTTAAAGCCTTGTGTGAATTGTGTTTTCTGTGTCTCTTTTGGGATGTGTCAGTGCCTCTGCTTGTCCTATTTTTCCTTAACTTTTTTTTTCTTACCAGAATGTCCCTCTTCCAGTGGAAAGCCCAACCATGCAGATATCTTGCTTATAAACTTACAGTATGTTTCAGAAGTGGAAATAATTAATGATCGAACAGAAACCCCTCCTCCCCTAGCTTCACTCAATGTTAGTAAGGTAAGGACTCAAGGGCAAATCTGGCTCTCTAAAAATCATGGGAAAGATGAGTCTCATTGACTGTTGGTGATACATTGTTGTCCATTTTTCATTTTTTAAATTGACTTAAAATTGCTTCTTCTGATATCTTTTTAAAAAATAGGTGTTCAGTTTTTCTCTTTATTTCTGGATGTTGCCAGTAGATCTTAAGAAATAAGCTTAACTCTCAAAGAAGTTGAGAACTTGTTTTTGCCTTTATGAAAGAGGACTTTTTTTTTTTAACTTAAAGTTTTAATCTTGGAGTACGTGATGAAATTCTGGTGATGGTGGGGTTTGGGTGGTGGCATTGCCTATGAACGTCCTCAAATTGTGTGTATGTGGATGTGTGCATATGTGAATATATGCGTTTTCTGCATGAAGATCCGAAATGTTTTTCAGATTCTCAGAGGGATTCATGACCTATAAAAAGTTTGAAAGCCACTGTTTTAAAGGTTCTTTTTTCTCTTTATGTTTGAATTTTGAGTTCTAACAATTACATGCTTTGCATATTTTAATCTTGCACATACAAATTGATCTCTGGGAATCCCCAAGTCACTTTTGTGTATGTGTGAACAGGGCCTTGCTTTGTTGCCCAGGTTGAACTTGAACACCTGGGCTCAAGTGATCTTCCTGCCTCAGCCTTCTGAGTAGCTGGGATTACAGGAATGCACCACTATGCCTGCCCAAGTTTTTTTGTATTTTGTTTTTTTTTGGGAGACAGAGTCTTGCTCTTGTTGCCCAGGCTGGAGTGCAATGGCACAGTTCCAGCTCACTGTAACCTCCGTCTCCCTGATTCAAGCGATCCTCCTGCCTCAGCCTTCTGAGTAGCTGGGATTACAGACATGAGCCACCACGCCTGGCTAATTTTGTATTTTTAGTAGAGATGGGGTTTCTCCATGTTGGTCAGACTGGTCTTGAACTCCCTACCTCAGGTGATCCGCCCACCTCAGCGTCCCAAAGTGCTGGGATTACAGGCGTGAGCCACTGTGCCCAGCCTTTACTTATTTTTGAGACAGAGTCTGTCTCTGTTGCCCAGGTCGGAGTGCAGTGGTAGGATCTCAGCTCACTGTAGCCTCCGCCTCCCAGGTTCAAGTGATTCTCATGCCTCACTCCCTGGAGTAGCTGGAACTACAGGTGTGCGCCACCACACCCGGCCAATTTTTTTCCGAGATGGAGTTTCGCTGTTGTTGTACAGGCTGGAGTGCAGTGGCACAGTCTTGGCTCACTGCAGTCTCCACCTCCTGGGTTCAAGTGATTCTCCTGCCTCAGCCTCTGAAGTAGCTGGGACTACAGGCGTATGCAACCACACCTGGTTAATTTTTTGCATTTTAGTAGAGACCGGGTTTCACTTTGTTGCCCAGGCTGGTCTTGAACTCCTGAGCTCAGGCAGTCTGCCTGCCTCGGCCTCCCAAAGTGCTAGGATTATAGGTGTGAGCCATTGTGCCTGGCACAATTTTTATATTATTAGTAGAGACCAGGTTTCACCATGCTGGCCAGGCAGGTCTCGAACTCCTGACCTCAAGTGATCTGTCCGTCTCAGCCTCTCAAAGTGCTGCTATTACAGGTGTGAACTGTTATGCTAGGCCCCAACTCATTTTTTTTGACAATTCAGTTTATTTGGTCAAAATTGATGTTGAACAGTAATAATGCCGAAGCCCTGTCACAGCCTGTGCTGTCCCTTGTACTTGGAAGATTTTTCCTTCCAGAATGACTGGAAGGAAAAAGCCTTACCCATCAGGACTTTGTTAAATGGCACGTCTTCCAAGAATTCTTCTGATCACCCAAAGTAATAAGGTTAAAGTAATTTGCTAGCATTATTCTCTCTCATAGTACCTTGTCCTTCGTAGTTAAGGTGACCATCATTTGTAGTCCAGCCTGGGACATTTTCAAGAGTAACGGAGAATGCTTTTATTTTACACTGGGATGACAGGTATAGATTAATGTGTCCTGGGCAAATTGGGACCTAAGGTTACCCTATTCATAGCTTTTTTTGTAATCATGTATTTATTTACTTGTCTAGTGTCTGTCTCACTAAACTTTATTCTGCAAGAATGGGAACCGCTCATGTTTTGTTTGCTATTGAATATATAGAGCCTTGCACAGAGTTTTTAGTAAATATTTGTTGGATGAGTAAGTTATGCCTCCGATTTTAGTAGCAGGTGCCTTTCATGAAGTCTCTTGAATTAGTGTGGTGGAAGTTTTTCCCTCTAGAGGAGTCTTGTAATAATGTGTATTACTTTGCCTCTCTTGGGAATGTGGTGTATTCTCTACGGTTCAGCAAAGCAAGGAAACACTTATGCAACTGAAATAATAGAGGGTAACTGAGGCTAGTGAATGTCGTTACCTCAGATCTGGAGCTCCTGTCTTGTCAGATTCCAGGGAAATGCCACATATTTTTTAGTGATGGCCAGGGACAGATTTGGAAGGCTATTGAGTTTCATATGGGTGTTGTCATATATGGGTTGTCCCATTCTTTGAAGCCTATAGGGTTTTGAAACCCTGTCTTAGTAATATATCTCCTAATACAGTATAGGAGGAGCTCTTTGGATGGTCTTTGATTTGCTTATGAAAATTTAAAAGACTTGTGAAATAATTTATTCCTGTATATTAAAAACATAAACTTACAGTGTGTTCTGTAGGCTCTGAGTTATTTTTGGGTGTTTACAGGGTATGAGAAGTCTGTCAATAGACCTTTGGTGAGTAGTAAAGATCTGAAAGAGAAATGATTTTCTGAAGTTAGAAAGTTGGCTCTTGTGACCAACAAGTGCCACTATTTAGAGGGGCAGGGGTTGTGTGGGTGGGACTGTTAAATGGGAGCTGTTAAGCAGATCTCAGCTGGGTGAGGTGGTTCATGCCTGTAATCCCAGCACTTTGGGAGGCCGAGGCAGGCTGATCAGGAGTTTGAGATGAGCCTGGCCAACATGGTGAAAACCCGTCTCCACTAAAAATACAAAATTAGTTGGGCGTGGTGGCACACGCCTATTATCCCAGCTACTCCAGAGGCTGAGGCAGGAGAATCACTTGAACCTGGGAGGCGGAGGTTGTGCCATTTCACTCCAGCCTGGGAAACGAGGGAAACTGTCTCAGGAAAAAAAAAAAAGAAAAGAAAAAGAAATAGCTTTTGGTTAGCTTGTGGATTATCTTTGCCTTTAGGATTTTGCTTTCTGCTGGTCAGTTTTCCTATTTTACTAGCAGTGTTGTAAACTAGCCGATTACCCACTCTTTGAGGAAAGCAGCAGGAAGTAATAGCTTGGGGAACACCAGATATCTTTACTTTTCTTACTGTCTGGCCTGCTTGCCAAATCTTGAAAAAGGTTTGCTGGGAAGAGGAGTCAGAAACTAAAAACTAAAATTAGGTTGGAGGGTTATCTTTGGATTTCGTTTATCCCTCAGTTTGCAGAGATGTTTATGAGTAGCTATATTGGCTTTCCTTTGAAACCAACCTTTTAGGATGCTTTGTGATTCCTCTTTGGAGATTGACTTAGAATTAGAGAGAGGCTGTTGCTGAAAACAGCTGATTTGGGCAGCTATGAACATGTTATATGAATGATGTGAAAAGTTCATCTCATTTTTAAGAGCATGGACTCGAGTTTTTCTTAAGATGTAGGATTGTTTAAGCATTTGAAAGGGAACTAACGTATCCTGGGATGTCTGGAAGAAAACAGTTGATGTAGTGCTTCAGATGCTTGCAGTCTGGAGAAGCACTACTTGTATACTCTAACTTTAGTCGAAGGTACCATCACATGTTGTCTTATCTTGCTGGCATAGTAAGTGCTCTGCTTAATTAAACTTGTTGATATAAGCCAGATAATTGTTTACTCTGACTTAGCAGGACATGGAAGAGAAGGACTTTTACAGGAAATACTTAATAATAGCTCAACTAGGGAAGGTATAAACTAGCAACTTCTTGGAAATTGGCCTGTTTTGCTTTCGAATGATAGTTCACTTCAGGCTAAGCAGTCTTATTTCTATCTCCAGCAATAGCATGTAAGAGAAAGCTTGGAAGAGGACACTAGGGTTGCGGTAGGGGGAATTATTATTTTTTTTTTGAGACAGGGTCTTACTCTGTTGCTCAGGCTAGAGTGAAGTGGTGTGATCTTGGCTCACTGCAACCTCTACCCCGCTGGGTTCTGGCGATTCTCCTGCCTCAGCCTTGCGAGTGGTTGTGATTACAGGCGCCTGCTACCATGCTCGGCTAATTTTTTTTTTTTTTTTTTTGAGACAGAGTCTTGTTCTTTCACCAGGCTGGAGTGCAGTGGCACGATCTCGGCGATCTCGGCTCAGTGCAACCTCCATCTCCTGGATTCAAGCGATTCCTCTGCCTCAGCCTCCTGAGTAGCTGGGACTACAGGCGCACACCACCACACCCAGCTATTTTTTTGTATTATAGTGGAGTAGGTCACGGTTTCACCATGGCCAGGATGGTCTCTATCTCCTGACTTCATGATCCGCCCGCCTTGGCCTCCCAAAGTGCTGGGATTACAGGCGTGAGCCACCGTGCCTGGTCTACCCAGCTAATTTTAATTTTTTTATTTTAATAGAGACGGGGTTTCACTAGATTGGCCAGGCTGGTCTTGAACTCCTGACCTCAGGTAATCCGCCCACCTTGGCCTCCCAAAGTGCTGTGATCACCACCGCGCCTGGCCCCCCAATTTTTTTTTTCCCCTCATCAGTGTGGTAACAAAACGATGTTGAATGAAATGACATTGTTTGACGACCTAGAGTATTTTGTCAGTGCTCCCTAGCATTGCCTCTGACATTCAGTCAGAGATTGGAACTTGCCACCCAAAGACTGGGGAAAATCAGAATTATACTGGATACCATTAATATGTAATATCTTACTATTAAAAGATGTTTTTAAGAGACCTCTGGTGATCAGAATTAACATTAATTTCCAAGGGGGTATTATCAAGTAGCATAGTTAATTGAACACTTCTCTGAGTCCTGGAGGTTAGGATGAGCAGTCACAGAACTGAAATGGG